AATTATTGGCGGTGTGAAAAATGCCCGCAAGGAGTAGAAATGGCAAAGGAGCGCAGAAGTGATAGGATTCTGGGCACAACTCACCATACTAATTTAGCCTGGTTGTTTTTGTGACAACGCAGGATCCATGGGATTCCCAGCATGCACTGCACTACTGAGGAGGAGGATGTTTATGTCCTAAATGATGTACGGAGCGTAAAGTAGTTTGGAGTGCTGCTAGGGAAAGGCCCCATGGTTTAGTGAACATCCAGAGTGCAACTGTCTCCAAAACATTCCAGTCTGAAAAATCCTAAGTGACAGGAGCCAGTCATTCCAGTCAAGGTAAAGCGAATGCCAGAGAGGTGGGAAATTTGTAACTACACACTGATGGCTTAATTTGCTGCAGTTAGAAAGATGAACCAAAGTATGCTAAAAATCTACTTGAACAGAATATTGGTTCTCTCCCCCTTTAACAAACATACTGTATTTAGATCTATCATTAGCTCTTCTATAGAGCTCAAAGCACATTACAAAAGTTGCGTGTCATTATCCCTCTTTTAGAGACTGGGAAACTGAGTCACAGAGATAAGGAGATTCCTCCATGATGACCGTTTTGTTTCGCAGCTGGGAACACAACCCAGACCTTATGGCTCACAATCCCGCATGCTATCGACAGCACCAAGCTGGCCCCACGCAAGACAGCGGTTGGTTGGGTTCTGTTTTTTTCCCCCCAACACCTGGATTCATGTGAGCCATCCATGTTCTTCACTTCAAATCAGAGCTGTGTGGAACAAAGGTAACAAAATAAATCATCCCGTTGGAAATTCACTTGGCATAGGGTGACCTTTTCTAAAACCTGGAGAAAAATTGCACCTCTGCCTTCTTAGCACCACAAAGTGGCTAATTCAAGTTCCTTATGCTTTCAAAAGCAGTTTAATTTTAACGCAGATGTTAACTTTTTTTTTTTAATTATTAAGAGACCAAGAAAATGTGTGATTTGTACCGCCAGACTGGTGAGGACAAGCACAGCTTCTCCATAGTTCTGAGTTTAATCTTATTTTTTAGTTAGCTGACGGATGTCTGGTTATGACACTGCAGCTAGAGGTAATTTCTGCTGGGCACCCAGCCTCTAACCCAGAACAATCAGCATCATAGTGCTCTGTGCTTTTACCTACTTAGTTATGAGCTAAACTGTGGAATTGGCGCTCCAATTCCAGCTCCCAGACAGGAAGGAAAGTGGGCAGTGCTTGAAGATTCTTGCGTTTTCACAGATCATGCTTATGTTTAACATGCTCCATACCCAGAGCAGCCAAAAATCCATTTGCTGCAGCCTTCAGGCATATGTAGCTCCCCTAGGGACCAATCTCGGCACAAAGAACTGTTGCTAAAAGTTTAGTGAGGTCATATGTCTGGCAAACTTAATGGCAACAAATTAAACTACTTTTTTAAGAACTTGGCTTAGGGTTTGCCTTGGAGATCCAAACCAAAATCCTTAACCCCTGGTTGTCCTCCCAGGAGTCACCCAGAGCAAAATCAGCAAAACCGAGCCCTTTTCAGACTGTATAGATGTACATTTTGGAATAAAATTACAACCCACTCCCCCCCACACTCATCTATTCAATTTCTTCCTGAAGTAGTAGTTTTGCAAAATGATCATTGCAGATTGCCCAGTGCCATGAAAACGAGAAATTTAGAAGTGAGAGAAGATTTAAATCACTTGGGGGGGGGGGAGGGGAGAGTATTTTGTTCTAGGTTCTGTTAAGATACTTTGTCAGTCTTTCTGAGATCACAGAAACCTGTAGCTACATTAGTAACGTGAAATGTGGAATTTCCAAAACCACCTAAGTGAATTAAGAGGGCAAAAAGAAGAACAGGAGTACTTGTGGCACCTTAGATACTAACAAATTTATTAGAGCATAAGCTTTCGTGGACTACAGCCCACTTCTTCGGATGCATAAGAGGGCAATTCTCATTGAAGATCCATGGCACTTGTGTTCCTAACTTGAGAATACAACCTCTAATTCTCAGGAGAATAATTAGAAATGTATTGATCAAGAACATTTTTGGTTGAAAGTTGAAATTATATATATAATTAGACACGTCTACATCATTATTAACCATTTAATTCAGTTGTAATATACTTGTGTGTGTGTGTGTATATATATATTTTTACACACACACACACACACACACACACACACACACACACAACAA